CCGCAGAAGTGGCAAAATTCATGAAGGAAGTTGCCGCAGATTTACTGAAATTCAATTGGCAGTCCTTTAAATCGGAAAATTTGCGTCGCCAATTTAAAATGCTCTCTAAACTCGGTTATGCGGCACTCAGCGAGTCCGATTACGCTGAATATTTGGATGTGTCGTCCACTATGCAGTCGAATTACGCTAAAGTACGTGTTTGTGACTATAAAAATGCCACCAAATGCGACCTATCCTTAAATCCGGAAATCGAAGAGATCATTAGCACCAGCCGTGATCCGGAAGAACTGAAGTATTATTGGCGCGAATTTTACGAAAAGGCCGGTACTGCTGTGCGCGGTCCTTTCGAGAAATATGTGGAACTGAATACGAAAGCAGCCAAGTTAAACAGTGAGTGCGATGAACAGCTATTTATTCATTTCACACTTTACTACGATTTAAATTTTGAATTACAATAGATTTCAAATCTGGCGCTGAATTGTGGTTGGATGAGTACGATGATGACAATTCATTGAAAGCAGCTCGAAACATTTTCGAAGAACTACGTCCGCTCTATCAGCAAATACATGGTTACGTCCGTTCTCGTCTGCGTCAACACTATGGCGATGCTGTGGTGTCAGAGAAGGGACCCATTCCAATGCATTTGTTGGGAAATATGTGGGCTCAACAATGGTCCAGTGTGGCCGATATTATCTCACCATTCCCTAATAAGCCGCTGATTGATGTTACCAATGAGATGGTTGCACAAGGTTACACACCATTGAAAATGTTCCAACTGGGTGATGATTTCTTCCAATCAATGAATTTGACAAAGCTGCCACAGTAAGATCGAGATTACATTACTCTATTACACAAATTTTATTCGATATCATTTCTACTCTGCAGAGATTTCTGGGATAAGAGTATTTTGGTAAAGCCTGATGATGGTCGCGATTTGATTTGCCATGCCAGTGCTTGGGATTTCTATATTATCGATGATGTGCGCATTAAGCAGTGCACCCGTGTGACAATGGATCAATTCTTCACCGTTCACCATGAATTGGGACACATTCAATACTTTTTGCAATACCAGCATTTGCCCATGGTCTATCGCGCTGGTGCCAACCCCGGCTTTCATGAAGCTGTCGGTGATGTGCTCTCACTTTCAGTCTCTACACCGAAACATTTAGAGCGTGTTGGTCTTCTGAAAAACTACCAACGCGATGATGAGGCACGCATTAACCAATTGTTCTTAACTGTAAGTGATCGAATATTGTTAGACTACTTTCCAAAATTTCGTATCATATATACTTGTATCGTGTATTTAATTATTCAGGCTCTAGATAAGATCGTCTTCCTGCCTTTCGCCTTTACTATGGATAAATACCGTTGGGCATTATTCCGTGGCGAAGTGGACAAGAAGGATTGGAACTGTGCTTTCTGGAAGTTGCGTGAGGAATACTCTGGCATTGAACCACCAGTAGTTCGTTCTGAAAACGATTTTGATGCACCAGCTAAATATCACGTGTCCGCCGATGTCGAGTACTTGAGGTAGGTTTTACGGTTAAGAGCATCTACAATTTTTATAGAGTAGTAGCGGACCCGACAGACGTGTTAGAATAGTTATGTTGGTTAGGAAAGTTTTATGAAAAATTGTGTAAAATATGTACTTCGAAACAGTAAAAAATTTGAAAATAAATAGTTTTAAGTAATATCCGCAAGAAAAAAGTAATGGATGTACCTAAAAGTAACAAATGTGTTCAGCCGATCTATCCTTTATGAATCTTCATTCATATATCGTATGGGATGGGATAGCAGTATGAATATTTACACACTATGCACCATACACCTGTCTATAGTCTTCATAGTTTAAACTATACTTATGCCATCTTAGAATCTGTTCTCAGCGCCATCTACCAGGCGTAACTGAAACTCAAATATACTTTTGAATATCTGACACGACTGCAGCGCAGTCTGCCGGAATTCTATTTAAAACGTTCTAGCATCAACAACATTTTATAAATAAATTAATTCACTATTAAAACATTATCTAGTTGAGCAAATTGTTAATTTACATCATTCTCAAATCCCCTTGAGCACACACAAAAAATTTCATCAAAATCGGCCCAAACATGTAGAAGATTTATATATATAAAGATACTCATTTTTGTATACCAAAAATTAATACTTTTTTACTGTCTCTCTCGGTAGATATTTGGTTTCGTTCATCGTACAATTTCAATTCTATAAGTCCGCCTGCATCAAAGCTGGTCAATATGATCCCACCAATCCGGAATTGCCTTTGGACAACTGTGATATTTATGGCAGCTTTGAAGCAGGTCAAGCTTTCAAGTGAGTTTTTAAAGAATATTTAATTGTCAAGATGAGTTGCAATAAAAGTTGTCGCTTGTAGAAACATGCTCTCATTGGGTGCCTCTAAACCATGGCCCGATGCATTGGAGGCCTTCAGTGGTGAACGTACAATGAGTGGCAAAGCCATCGCAGAATACTTCGAACCGCTCCGTATATGGTTGGAGGCGGAGAATAAGAAGAACAATGTGCATATTGGTTGGACGCTATCTGACAGTAAGTGTAAAACTTTCCTAACCTCGTTTTCGTTGTAAAAACTAACTTTTCCTTACAGAATGTGTTTCCTCTTAAACTCGGCGTGCTCTTAACAAGATGATGCAAAAAAACGTTTGCTTTTTTGGGGTTCAGTTTGATTACTGTACAATTTCATTTTCCTTAAATTTTGTAAAATTTATTTTAACAAAAAATCAGTATTAAAAAATAATACAAAATTAAATTTGTTTTAAATTTGGAGAATGAAAGGTTAATTATATATTCATACATCAAAACTACATAGTAAGTCAACAAAGAGGTCAACTTCAGTGATGGTAAGAACTATTGCAGAGTACTCTACGATAATGCTCAAATAGGTTGGGCAGGAGAGATAACATAAAGAAACTACACATATTCATAAAATTGAAGTAATTGAGTTATTTTGTTTTCACTCAATACCGTTA